ATATATATATATATATATAATAACAAGTAAACAGATATCATGCAGATAAATTTTAAATCAAAACAGATTAATGAAAAAAATTAAAGACTCCTAGGGTCATCAATAACTAACCATTAGAAAAAGCTTCATATTGGATAATTCCTAATATTAAAATCAAACATTAAGAATTAAGGAACTTATAATTTCTATAAAATAATTATGCCACCTACCAACACATGACAATGCTGAAGGATTGATTCCTATTTAAGTCCACTAAACAGAATTAAATACTTCAATTTAATTAATAATCCCAGCAACAAGTAAAATACTACTTAATACAAAAGTACTTAATCAATATTTTATTATTATTTAATTCTTTAAATTTTAAAAATTTCATTAAAATTTCCCAGAAGTAGGAACTCATCTCTAAACATAATATCAGTCCAAATTCTTCAATCTTTAGTGAATTTGCAGAATTTAGGGAAAACATCATTTCACCCAAATTTGTTGGAATTGATCCAATAAACCGACCATTTCTAATCCGTCGCAGTGCAAGAACACATTATCTAATTAAATTATATTCCAATTAGGTTCAATCCCTATATTGGGAGAAATCTAACTCATACTAAATTCAGCAAAATTAATCAAAGAAAAATTTAGCTACCAAGATCTTATGCATGCCAAAATCTAAGGGCCTGTCTGATACCAGGGTTTGAGTAAATCCTGCATTCCCTTGAATCCTGTTTTACCTCCATTTTGGTCCAAATCCAAAATTCACTAAATCCTGTAGGTTGGCAGATTTACGAGATTTACAAGAACAGATACTGGTCGATGCCTTCGCCAGCAGACTCCCATGGCTGCTTCTTCGCTTTTTTTAACTAATAAATATTTCCTATTAATCTAGCTTAGAGATTAAGTACTCGGACATGATAATTTTTTAATAGTCTAGGGTTTTCGAGGCTCATGAAGAAACACCGTCATAATCTCCATGAAGAATCGGTTCTCCACCAACCTCCTCACTACAGATTCAACTATCAGTGGCCGACAAACCACCACAAACAGAGTAGCAAAACAAAAAATATATATATAAGTAAGAGATGGACGGAAGAAAAGAGGCACCTGTAACAGTTCAAGCGTCGATCTCGCTCGTCTTTGGCGATCGCTTCCCCTTCGTCATTCCCGCCGCTCAATCTCCTTCGATCTCTCTTTCTCTCAGGTCTCCTCTTCTACGGCTACTTTGTTAGCATCTATGTGAACAAATTACTAAATTAGTCGGAAGGCTACTCTTTTTTTTTTTTTTTTTTTTTTTTTTTTTTTTTTTGGAGAAAAATGGAAGCAACGGTATCTACAAGGAAAAAATATTATATCAGCAGCGGAGCCCAATAAAATTATGTCGTATAAGTAATTCGTCCGATAATACAAAGAAATATTTTTCTCGTGTTATTCAGGGGTTATTGTGTGTTATTCAGATGTTATTGTGTTTTAAGAATATTTCCGTTGTTATAATAATACAACAATACATCAATAATACTTGAATAACACACAATAACACCTGAATAACACGAGGGGAATATTCTCGGGTGTTACCGGGTCGATCAACACGACGACATAATTTCATTGGACTCCGCACGTAACTCTACATGGGGAGTCCTGATGTAATATTTTTTTGTCTACAAGAGTTGCAAATTGAAAATATTAAATCTAGTCAGACTTCAATGAAGTTTGGATACGTGAAAGCGGTGGACTCACAGAATAAAATATAAAAAACTCTATATTTAATGTATGACCCGACCCGACCCGTTCTAGCTCATTTCTTCGAAATCAAAACTCTTCTCGCTAAATAAATCTTCATTTTCTTCTAACGCAATCGGGTAAGATTTCACAAAGTGATTTTCACAGCCCCTCTTTTCTCAGGTGAGAACTATTGATGATGGAATATATAAAAAATGAGAATAAGTTTGAAATGGAGGCAATGTAATCTGAAAATAATGACGAGATTTTTGAAAGGGAGCTGTATTATGAAAGTTAGTTTAGCTACGTTGACATTAATTTATGGTGTCATTGTCGTATATCGTATATTTGTGGTGTTATAGAGGTTTTTTTTTTTGTTATTATGGTGTTCTTACAGTGTTATTATGGTTTTATTGTGATATTATTGTGATGTTATTCATATGTTATTAAGGTTTTATTTTGATGTTATTTTAGTGGTATTATGGTGACTTTGTGGTGGTATTCGATTATGTTATTGAAGTAATATTATGATGTTATTTCAGTATTATTGCGGTATTATTCAGATGTTATTGGGGTGTTATTGGGATATTATTGTGATGTTATTGAGATATTTTTGTGGTATTTTGGTAGTGTTATTAAGGTGTATTATTGTGTTGTTATTGCGGTAATTTTGTGGTTTTATTGAAGAGTTATTATGGTGTTATTTGAGTGATATTGTAGCGGTTTTGTGGTGTTATTCAACCAGTGTTTTTATGGTGTTGTTGTGATATTATTGTGGTATTATTGTTGTGTTATTCAGGTGTTATTGAGATTTTATTTTGGTATTATTTTACTTGTATTGTGGTGGCTTTGTGATGGTATTCGACTGGAGTTATTGGAGTTATATTGTAGTGTTATTTCAGTACTGTTGTGGTGTTATTCAGGTGTTATTGAGGTTGTATTAGTTCAGTATTTTTGTGGTGTTATTGAGGTATTATTGTGGTATTATAATGGTGATATTGCGGTATTTTTGTGTGTTATTGAGGTGTTAATGAGGTGTTATTATAATATTATTGGAGTGGTATTGTGGCAGTTCTGTAGTGTTATTCGATTGGTGTTATCATAATGTTATTATGGTGTTATTGTGGTATTGTTGTGTTGTTATTCAAGTGTTATTGATGTTTTATTGTGATGTTATTTTAGTGCTATTGTGACAGCTATGTGGTGGTATTCGTCTGGTGTTATTGGATTCTTATAATTGTGTTATTTTGGTTTTATTTTGGTGTTATTCAGGTATTATTGTTGTGTTATTGTGGTATTATTATGGTGTTATTGTAGTATTTTTGTGGTATTATTGAGGTGTTATTGCGATATTATTATTGTGTTATTGCGGCATTTTTTATGGAGTTATTGATGTGTTAGTAATGTGTTATTGTGGTGTTATTTGAGTGATAATTCACAAATAAATATTTAAAGTAACCTGAATATTATGTTTAAACAAAAATTAAAGCAATATTCTCTTGAAGTTCACTCATAATTTGTTTTTTTATGCATAGTACATTTAGTTATAAAAAATTGTTGATAGCAAATCTTCAAAGACTCTAATAGAAAAATCTTGCCATTGCATCTCATTGTTAAATAAATATTATTTTTTCACATAATTAATTTTGTATGAGAAAAAAAATGCACGAGGGGTGAGTGTATTTGTACAACTAAAAAAAGGATATCAACAAAATCTCAACTATCTAACAAAAGTATATGACTAAAGTGATCCATCACAAACTCACACTAACATGAAAGTTTATCCAATAAAGCATTATTAAAATCATTTTTTTTCTTTTATATTTTCATATTACCATTCTCGCATTCTTAAAAACGCTTCATTACATGTCATGTATTTGTAATCATGCTTTCACTTGGCTTCAATAAATACCCAAAAATTAGAAGCATCTATATTTGATAATGTTGAAGACAATGTCAAATTTTAAGATTGATTAAAATTATTAACAATTTATTTTGATTGGTAAAATGCGAATGACTTTCAGAGTACTAACTTTGCAAAATTAAAATAGATAGGAAAAATAAATTGTATTGGACTGGATTTTTTTGAAAGAAAATAAAGTCTTATTATGAAAATTCTAACAAAGGGTAGATATGCAAATAATTTGAAATTTAAATACATCCCAACGGAGCATAAAATATATCCAGTCATCTCACAAATTAAAAAATCTTTTTACTTTTGATAAAATGATATTTAAAGAGTTTAAGCTTAGCATTTTCTTTTGTATAGTTTGGCGAATCTTGGGATATTTGAAATGATCCAATTGAAGGCAGGTTTCCTCGCATCGTTGTACACAATGAAAAAGAAGCATAAGAACTATATTGTGTCTACGTTCATCATATTAGATTTACTGTTCGAAAAGACCACAATATTTTTTGGTCTAATTTGAGTATTAAGAAGACGGACTTTTTTATGTGAAAAACACAAAGAAGTTCAAAAAAGCGGACACACAGACAGATTGTCCAACTATGATTCGATATGCAATTGATGTTCAGGGCAACTAAACAGTTAAAAAATTTATAGAAACTCATAATCATTCCTTAATGAACCCCAATGATAAGCATCTTTTGCATTCCAACAGAAAGATAAGCGAAATTAATGCAGATGTGCTCAGATCGAGGATAGAATCAAAGATAAGAGCTACGGATGTCTTTTAACTTTCTTGCTACAGAAGTTGGGGGAATAAAGAATCTTCAATGTACATAGAGAGATGTCTTCAATTTCATTAAAAAAAAAAGAGAAGATTTAAAATTTAAAATGGCGATGATAATTCTCTATTACAATCGTTCATGGAGAGATAGGTTGAGGATAATATGTTTGTGTGGGACTTCCAAATTGATGAGAGGAGTGGGTTGATGAGTTTTTTTTGGAGTGATGTCCTGTTCAGTCTTGATTATGAATGCTTTGGGGATTCATTATTTTTTATGCAAGTTACAAACTAAATAAATATAATTTATGTTGTGCTCATTTTATTGGTGTGAATTAGCATTGACACAATGTTCCCTTCAGAGTTGTTTTTTTTTTCAGATGAGATGATTGATTCGTTCAAATGACTATTCAAAATATTTATTCGTATCAGGGATGACAAACATTCAATAACATTTTTTACTAATCGGGGTCAAGCAATGACAATAACTATAAAAGATTCTCTGTCACATACACGACATAGATTATGCCAATGATATGTCTAAAAGAAATTTCCTTTGAAAGTTCATTGTATGATGGGTAATATGACAATCAAGAAACTTTTCTATAAATTTATGAGCAAATACAACTCTAAAGAGAAATTTGAACAAATTTGGGTTGTCATGATGGAGAAAGAAAATCTACACGACAATGTTTGCCTAGATGACTTATACATCATAGACATAAGTGGTCAACAGCTTTGAATAAAAAAAAATTAGAATGTGAATCTTATCAACACAAAGAATTAAGTCCACAAATAATATTTTTCATGGTATCTCCAAGGCAACATGCTCTATTGTTATTTTTAGACCATAATTAACTTTAAGAGATTGCCCCTTTTAGGGTTTCCTAACCCCAAATAAAATAAAATTTGTCATATCTTCTCAGGGTAGTAGAAAATTTTTTGGTAACGTAAACCCCCATAATTGTAAAACTATCATATCGTAATTGGATACGCCATAAGGTAATATTTTCATCTTTCGAGGTGAATAATATTCCTAACGTTGTACCCAATCACAAATGAGAAATGTTCAAACTCTCCGCGTGGTTGGTATATTTTACCAACCATATAGAATATATCCCCTTTGATAGAGACACAAATTAAGTATACTTCTCTTCTATATTGTATGTTAATATTTTGGGACTTGGGTTGATAAGCCAATAACAATTTTCAATGGAAGAAAAATATTTTAAGTGATGTGACCCTTCACTTATTTAGAATTTTTTTTCGTATGAAATGTGTTTGCATTGCACGAGGAAGAGGAATATATATATATATATATGGGAAATTAATGATCCAGCTATTTTATATCGAGATTTAAAATTCTCTATCACCGATAAAAATATATATTTTAAAATTGATGGAAAAAGATAAAATTTAAGAGAAATTTCTTATATTGGTTTTTGCGTCAATCGAAGTTGGTTGAATGAAGCGATTATTCTGTGCGGACAACACACATAATTTGCGTGCGCTGTCCAATAAGAATTAAAAAAATAAATAAAAAATTAAGTGAGGTCTATTGACATACATTGGGAGAGAGAGTATTTTCATTGGTTTGGTTCACCGCCGTGAACGTACACAATAATTTTTCGATTGAATGGATGACTAAAGCTCTATTTTTTGGCTCAAACGGGAATAATTGCTACGGCAATATGATCGATGCATGGAATTTTTCTTGTGATGATAGCATTGATATGCATAACTATAAGTCATATTTTATTATTTATTTATTATTATTATTTTCTTGTCGAATTAATTGAAATCCACTAGAATCCCTTAGAGTAGAGAAAGGGTGCTTAGTTCGTTATTTATTTTGAGTCAATTTCAAATCAATATATTTACATATCTAACATCTAAAATTTATTATTTTCATGCATGTATGACTGATTAATATCATAATCATATTAAAACATTTACATGAAATGATTTTTTTTTTTCTACATAAAAAATGGTAGTACACACATGCTTTTGATTTGATGTTAAGTATTTCAATCCTCATATATTAAAACAATTTAGCTGTTAAATATGTAAATATTTGAAAAATAATTTGTATGTATGTACATGACCCAATAAAATGAACAATGAGCAATAATATTATTTGTTGTCTTGCGATCATAACATCATCATTTCTGTTTTTACTACTGATCCACATAAAAGTAGCATTTTACCAAACTTTATAACTAAACAAGAGTAAATGAATATCCAAAAATCTACATTAAATTGCTAGCCACATGAAAAATGCGGACCATAGAGGAAATAATGGTAAAGTTAAAGCATATGCCCAAAAGAATATGACTGAACATTCACTTACTCCAGCACCAAAGAGTTGGCAGATCACACCTGTCAACAACATATTGTTGTAATATAAGTTAGTAAAATGTGTATTATTATCATATATGTGTAAAAGTAAATTATTTAAAAATGGTGTGATTGTTTATTTATTTCAAATGTATAAAAATAGTCAATTTTAATACTTCAATTCATTTTTTAATTTATACTAAAATGATCTTATTTTTTATTTTAAAATTTCAAGTAAAATTATATAATGCACACATATACAATATTTCATTAATACTCATCCCATATTTTATATATATACTCACAATAAGAGTGCTAAGAGTATTTTTGTATTAACAAATTAAGATGTTCACATTCACTTGTAAGTAATGTTATAGTATTAATATAAATTAATTGTTAACTTTATGACATCAATCAATAACAATTTCATAAAAAAATTTTGTTGTTGGAGCATTTACATACATTTCACTTAATATCAATGTATTTAAGAAGCCAACATTTAAATTTCACTTTTTATATTTTTACCATCAAAATATTTTATATCATATAAGAAATACCATTATTTTGAATTTTAAAAAAAGAAATGCACCATTTCATGCATATAATAAGGTGATATGCATATATCTGTAAGTACACATGTACCTATGTACGGCTATATGTATGTATAGGTAAAACCTGAAGTTTGTATTTGCATATGTACATGTGTATGTATGTATATGTAAAAATTAAATTTTAGATGTTAGATATGTAAATATTTAGAAATTAAGTATTATGGAAGTAAATCTTTCCTTATTTATTTGTTTAAAAATAAAATATTGGCCAACATGTTGATATAATGATATTTAGATGATAGTCAACTAGATAAAGATGTGAAATAATATGTGAAATAAATAATCTGAGGGCAACATTTCAAAGATAACTAAGCGAGCTTTACTATGATAGATACATCATTTACCTATATTGCTATAACACATTAATATTATGATAAAATCAAATAAACCAGAAAAAAAATTAATATTACCCATATTCATTGCAGGTGGAAGAGCATATTGCACCAACAAAACAAAATGATAGAGTGGATCTGGGTGAAGAATGCCAAAATGAATTGCTCCTTTAATTATACAAACACCCGTCAAAGGCAAAAGAAGAAATCGAACAATTACCACACCAACAGCAGCTGAAATTTTGATATTGGAGTTATGAAATCCTACAAAAAAAAAAAAAAGAAATTCTGATAAATTAAATTCATAATTATGTTGGCTAGCAAAGTGTCTTTTCACATATTGTTAAGACTTTAATTATATTTATTAAAAAAAAATATGGCAATTGATGGTATATTTAGTTGATATTATATCATCCATCATCTGTATGTTATTGCACTTCATTAAGAGAGTGAGTACAACATAAGAACTTGTGAGTAAAGATATATTTTACCTTAGTCCTAAATACTTTTAGCTCTGTCATCAATAGTCACATTATTGAAAATAGGATTAAAAAATAAATATATAAATTGAGACTAAAAAAGCTTTTACGCATATCCAAAAAAAAAAATTACAACTCAAAACTGAAGTATGGTAGACAAGTGTTACAATTTTCTTAAGAAATGTTTAAAAAAAATATCATATTTTGTCAAAACTAAAGTGTGTAATATCATAATTTAATTTTATTATGGTGAATTTTTAAGGTTCGTTTCGCGCAACTGTGGAAGTGCAGCGTGGTAGTGGGGGAAAAATAATTGACTCCAAAGAAGGCCCACTTTTGATGTGTTCATATTCATGACATCTATTTGCATTTATATGAAATTTTTAGAGAAATTTATAAATATAACACCCACTTCTCATGTGTAAACAATATTCCAATACATAATTAGAATGTTCATTTGTTCAGAAACAGCTGCAACATATCTATTTTCAAACTGCAAAAAATAAACAAATAACTAGCTTATCTACAACATCATCCTTCTAAAGCTACTGCGCAACAACTTATTAATAAGCAGCAAACTGTTCTAAACATACACTAAAAGAAGTTTAAATATGATATTAATTAATTAATTTATAAAAGAAAATTTTCATTCCCCTAGACATTAAATATTTTTCAAATATGATATTAATTAATTTATAAAAGAAAATTTTCATTCCCCTGGACATTAAATATTTATATGAAAAATAAATTATACATACCTTTGACAAGATTTCCTCCAATTATTAAAGTAGTTGCAGGGACAGCTCCATCACTGTGATTGACAAAAACAGAAGTATTATATTACTATTATTATCAGACTTAGACCAATTATTTGAGTTTGATGATTTCATGATCCAATATTATCATTATTCAGTACCATTAAATACTTCATGAGAATTAAACCCTAATTTGTATTTAAAAATTGAAGACAATACTTCATTGAACTATAAGAAATTAATTACATTACACCACGTTAATTTTACTAAAAAAAAAGTTAGATAATGAATGATTTGTTATATTTTTATTTATGACTCACATTTATTTTAATAACTTATGAGATTTATTTTTGATAACTTAAGTTATTAATTTTCATAACTCATAACTTATGTCATAAATTATGACAACTTATGATATTTATTTTGATAACTTAAGTTATTTATTTTCTTAACTCATAACTTATGTCATAATTTATGATAACTTATGATATTTATTTTTGTAACTCTATAACCCCTAAAATAAATAAATGTTACTAACTTATGTCATTGATTTTATTAATAAAAATCAATTAATTTATTAAATTATCATAAATCCTATTGGTTGGTAACCCCCTTGATGGATGGTGGTTAAATATAGCATGAGTTTGAGAATGGGTCCTCTCTCTACCTAACACACCTCGTACATTTCTCTCCATCAGAAAGTACAGAAAGTTTTAAGGGATTAGAGAGAGAAACTCCATCTCTTCAAGATCAAATTTGTTCATCATGAATACAGGTATGAGTCACTTATTTTACATATGTAAAAATCATGAATTTAAAAGACATTGGCTATTATGTACTTTTCTTTTGAAATTTGTGTATAAAGTTGAAACATGAATTTTCTAACATGATTGTATTATAATAAAGTTATAATAAGCCTATGATAATTAAGTAACATACCCCAACAAACTAAGGGCACCTTGAAGGGAACGAAGAGGTGCATTTTCACCTACTAGTGCCCTTCGGAAAGGAGAAACGACCCCAATTGTAAGTCCAATAATCTGCATAGTAAATTAAATAATTTTTAAAAACAAAATAACATTTTTATGATATAGACATGATGATCCCTCATGTTAGGAGACATCAATGTGTTCAAATATGCACCATGCAGGTCCACGTCTTAAATATTTTTATTTTACATTGTGTTGGTAATATACTAGTCCTTAATATCTATTATTTATATACAATTTTTGCAATGCCATACTGAATGAATGTTATTATTTATATTCAATTGTTGTCAGTCTCTCAAATGGAATGAGCTTGATTTAATAACATAAGAACCAAATTCAAAGTTGTCATACTGTCATAAGTTGAACTCAAATAAAATATGAGTTTTACATGACTAACTATTAAAATGACAGAAAATTATTTCTTAATAAAATTAAAAAAGAAGAGTTGTTAAGAATAATTTGACTATGAAGAAATTCTAAATTAGATTATGTCGCTACTAATCAATGTCATTAAGTGTTGATAACATACCGCTCCAAATATTGATGGGGTAAACAACCTCCTCAATGCTATGACCGCTGGCCTCTCGGAGAGTGATTTTGTCATTTTCATTAATGATTGGACCTGAAAAAAATTAAAAACATTAAATGGATGCATTATACATATGCAATAATCTATTAGAATTATAAAAAAAAGATATTATTCTGGAAGAGAAGCAAGGTATCTCAACGTAATTAATTTATAGTAATATGTTGAATAATCCCATATATGCTGTAAACTATTATTTTATGATTTTATATAACTAATATTTAAATGAAAAAAAAAGAATCTAATAAAGCAATTATGAATGTGAATATCATTTGCCTTGCTATTTGTTGAAGGCACACTAACATTGATGCCTGAGGTTTCTTGAATATTTTCAGCATTAGTAGAAAATGAGACTTTAGTATCAAACCAAACTGAGTCATTTTCATGAGTTGATATTGTTCCTTCCTCTATAGACATTGGTGATGATGATTCTTGTTGGATGATCTTCATCTTTTCTTCTTCAAATCCCATTGATAATCTCACAACGTTGTAGACATATGACCAAAAGAACGTATCGCCTATCTGAAGTATTTACAAAAAGCTTAAAACTCACATTTCATTACTATTGCATAAATACACATTTATATAATTTGCATTATTTATTGTAAATAAAAATCCGGACGCGTAGGTAGAAAAGGAAAATCATAATATCTACACACAAATGCACAGATATGGAAATTAGAACATTCTCTACACATTAAATCCAAAACCTCATTAACCCAAATCTTCTTTGAACATGCATTAAAAAAAATGCAAAATTTAAATTTTTTTGATATTTTTTTTTTCTGCCTGTGGAGTATTTGATTGTTATATTTATTATTTGTATTAAAACACTAAAGAATTGATTATAAAATCATAAAAAGAAGGTTTATTGATAATTTATTTAATTTCTACGAATAAAATGTAGCCTTTAAAAAATATAGAAAAGACTTACGCCCATGGAGAGTGAAGCGTAGGCCAAAGCCTGGGAAGTGCATGAGGCTGGGTCACCGAATGGTCTTCCACTTTCTTCGCAAGTAGCTGGAATCACAATGAGAAGCATGACACCCATATTTCCTGTCCATTTCAGATTTAATAATAACTAATCAGTAAATCACTAATAAGATTAGATTACCCCAACCTAAATTATAAAAAACACTAAATGACAGTAATTTTTCTTAAGCTAAAAGAAGATGAGTCTTAGTGTCTATTTGGGTCAGCTGTAGCTTATTGAATAATCTGCTGATAAGCTAGATGCGGTGGATATTACAAATTTTTATTTTTTCGGAAAAATCAGACCGCTGCCAGAAAGCTCCATAGGTGCGGTGTGAAAATGCTGTTTTCAGTGTTTTCAAAATGCATAAGCTGTCAAACGAAGTTTATCCAAACAGGTTAGGTGCGTTTTCAAAACGCCACCGCACCAAATAAACTGCCTCAAACGGACCCTTAATTAAACAGTAATTCCAATAGTTCTACGGTTTTTTTCTTTTTAATTTTTATATATCAATTTTTATGATGTCCTGTATATATATAAGCTGTTAAAAGTTATTATATGCACATTTTGGTCTCTCAACTACGGTACAAATCTGCAACTCTCCACATGATTTTTTAGTACTATTTTGTTTCAATTAATTAATTGTCTTATTATTTCTCTAATATTAGAATTTTTCTATATATATTTATTTTAATTTTATCATACATTCATTCAAATATTATCATTTCTATTTCACTCTACAAATTCTAAATCATACTAAATTTAGAGCATTTGAATCCAAAATTTTTAATTTTACACAATTTTAGCAGAAAAAAAATTATTATTATTATTTTTCATTGCATATTGCCAACTTTACCTGAAGCACAACAACCAATAATAAGGCCTCTTAAATTGGAAGGAACATTGCTAATTTTGTTAAATATCCATCCAAATGCTGAACCAATAATGAAGGTAAGAAGAATGTTGATAGGCATAAACCATCTGTGTATGAAAGTTATGAAAAATAAAAAGAAAACAAAACAAAATGTCACTGTTTAATTATCCAAGGTGTAAAATGATTAAATAGTTTATATAACATATCCTGTTTTAAGAATTCTTAATTACAAACTGAGACATTTTAAGTTAAAAAATAAATCAATTTTATATCTATTAAATTAATAATTTATCACACATATTTATTTTTTAAACTTAACTCCACTTGAAAAATATTTTAATGAAATAAAACATTTTATGATCAAAGTAAATCTAAAATAATTATTTAATTAGCAAGAGAAAATATTATTTAAAAAATTTAAAACTTTCTTTTACATAGGATTTTTCTAAAAGGATATAAATTAGCTAAAGTAATAAAAAAAAAAACAATAGTTATAAGCTAAAATAAGATAATACATAAATCAGATGTATTATGAAAAAGAAATATAAATATATTTAAAAATTATAATGTAAAATAAAAAATATATAATTTTTATTTCAAATGGAAACTTTGAAATTTTTTGGATAAAGTATTAAATTTTTTCTTAAAATGTGGTTTGAGATAGATGAAACTTACGTTGAAGCCACACTTTTCAAAGTGAAAGTGGAGGATAAATTGTTTGTCACAAGTGAAGGGTTTAGTACAAAATATACAACCTGTTAATTAAAGATTGCTATTAGCCTTCTCAAAATAAACAAATTAATGCATAAAATGACAATTAAAACTAACAAAAAAATGCATGTAGCACAAAATAAGTAAAATAACAGATAGGGATAAAAGAGTTATATTTATGTCTCAATTAATTACATCTGAAAAACTCTTAGGGTTTAAATAAAATATATTATCTATAAGAAATTAATATAAAATAAAATCAAATGATAAGAAAAGATGCAACATAGCTTTCTAAAAACAGATCATCGGTGGACGGTATTTAAAAATTTAAATAATATATTAAAATTTCTGTGCTTTAAACTATTAATAAAAATATGTTTAATTTATTCTTGTTGGCTACCTTATTTTACTTTTTATCACAAAATTTTCTTGGGGTTTACCAAATCTACACCGAATGAAAAGAAAATCATGCAATTGCTTTCATTGGATGTTTCAAATTTTACGTGGGCAATGATCAATTTGTCTTATACCAAGCTCTTTAATTTGGATGTTTCATAATTTATTTCAGCATTTTTTACGTGGCCAATGATCAATTTGTCTTATACCAAGCTCTTTAATTTGGATGTTTTTGGATGTTTCATAATTTATTTCAGCATGTCATTGCGATGCTAGTGCACTGGTGTGACATGCTTGCTTCTGTATTGCTAAATAAAAATAAATATAATTTTCTATATTGTTATGGTATGACTCATATACCATATAGGGACAGACGCAGAAACGAAGTGGAGCGGAAGAATCTGTCCAAATCGGGGTCCAAATCGGAGAATCTGTCCAAATCGGGAAGTTACGTTATGTGAGTTGGGGCTATACGGTACATGGGTAATTTGAGAATTGCATATTGTACTATAAGGTTTACTCTTAGATTATAAATAAACCTGTTTGTAATCCTAGGTCTTTGAGAGAGCTGAATCTTGTATTATGTACTCTTTTCTGAATATTGAAAAGGAGGTCGTCGCTCTGCTCCCGAGGATGTAGGCATCTTTGCCGAACCTCGTTAAATCTCTGTGTTCTTCTGTATTTGTGTGGATCTTATTTTTTTTTTTGCCCTAATTTCTCAACGAGTGGTATCAGAGCGAGGTTCGAGAGCAGGGAAGAAAAAGTTTCGGTACAACAGTAGAAGAAGAAGAGTTCGCGAGTTCGCGGTACAACAGGAGAGTTCGGGAGTTCACGGCTTTGTACAACGGGAGAATTCGTGAATTGCAAGATGTCGCGATTGGCGACGACAAGGTTCTTGCGGAAGGCGGCTGGGCAGAAGGGAGGAAAGGAATCTTTCCTTCTGTGCGTGGATCTGAAAGGGAAGGAAGTTTTGCAAAAGAATGTTCAGCGCATTCGTGAAAGGAATGTTCTCTTGGAGAAATTGGAAGGAATCTTCCCATTTGTTTCCTTTGCTGGTTCGATCGGTTTCCTTTGGAGGCTGCAGATAAGAAAAAGGAAGGAAATCAATAAAGTCTTTTCCCGCTGAAGAAAGGAAAATTTTTGAATTTTACTAAATTAAAGGAAAGTTGTTTTTTAATTAAGTTGATTTAAAGAAAATATTTAATTAAGGAAACTTAATTAAAATTTTCTTTGTTGGATCTGCGGAGGAGGAAAGGATTTGAAATTCAGTTAATTAAATGAAATATTTAATTAAGGGAATATTTTAATTTTTTTTTTAGAAAGATTTTGTTGCTTCTCTAGGAAACTTAATTAAGGGAATTTTTTTTTTCTTGGAAACTTAATTAAGAAATCTTAATTAAGGGATTATTTAAAAGGATTTGTGGCAAAATCAAAGTACAATTTCTGACTCAACAAGGAATCTTGCGGAGAAGAAAAATTGGAAGTATTTTCTGAATTTCCTTGGCTGGAGAAAGAAAATCTTGGCTACTGGGCAAAGGGGAGGAAAAAGTTAAATTTTGCGGATTGTTCGCAAGGCAGACGGGCTCGCGGGAACGAACAGATGCGAAGCAGTTCAGATAAAGAGCTGCGGCAGTTCGACGAGTTATGCTTTGGGGAGTTTGCGATAGAGGCGGCGTCGCGACTTCGAGGCGCCGTCGCGACTTCGAGGCATGACAGTTCATGAACCTTCGCGACATAAGACGAGGTGGAGTTCGCGAACAGGAGTTCGTGTGCAGTTACCGCGAACAGGAGCGTTTGCAAACATAGGAGTTTGGTGATGTTCGACCAACGGAGTTTGCAAATTCGTCGCAGGAGGAGTTGCGACAGTTGGAGTTCGACGTCGAGGTGCTGGCGCGAACAAGAAAAGTCCTTCAACCCACATTTATGCATAAGAAACTCCATGATATTTTTCTCCTAAGGGGCTGTATATTC